GTGAGGTGATTGAAGAATGGGTTGAACAGCTTCCTTATGTCCTACTTGGTGAAATTGGAGTCAGTTTGGAGGCTTTGTGAGGGTTTGTCCATTCACTCTCCTATGTATATCAAATATCTTCATATAATTGATTTGGGTTGCCTTGGCCGTGAGCCTCTTTTGGCCTTGGGTTGCTTTAGCCGTGAGCCTCTTTTGGCCTTGAGTTGCCTTAGCCGTGAGCTTCCTCTTCTTCTGTGCCTCGGGTTGCCTTGGCCGTGAGCCTCTTTTGGCCTTGGGTTGCCTTAAGTTGCCTTACCCTATCCTTCTGTGCCTTGGGTTGCCTTGACCGCGAGTCTCTTTGGCCCTGTTTTACCTTGACCAAAAGTCTTGGTGGCTATATTCTCATCTATTAACCCCGACCGTGAGCATTTATTTGGTTTTATGGGAAAATTTCATGCTTATTTGATTTATGAGGCCATTGATTGATTTGGAAGTTGGAAGATCTTGATTTTTGCATGGGTTTGGGAGTACTAGTGGTGGTATTCTCCGAGTTATTTTCCTTTTGTGAAGATTGGGGGATTTCTAAGTCTCATTTTTGAAAAGCATTTGGTTGGAATAAATTTCAGACGTCTTTGGGAGCATGGCACCGATGTTAGGAAGTCACTCGGGTGTGAGGCCATTTTGACTCAGGTTAAGCCACTAATAAAAAAATGTGAGGAAATAATACCCTTTCGGATAGATTCAAAGATATTCAAGCTTTCCTTTTCAGGTCTTTTCGTCACGAGTTTTGAGAGTTGATTCATCATTCGTTCTTTTTGATGGTTTTAGGTGAATCGGTCCCTCCTCTCTCTCACCCCTTTTTTGTTCTTTTTTTCCTTGCTTCTTGGTTTGGTTTTTGATGCTTATGTCTGATACATAAGTGTCCACGTATAGCCTTTTGCTATACGTGAAACCATCAAGCAATGTCGCAAGATAAAGGCATACCGGAAATAGAGCATAATGATATGTCATCCTACGACATCGCAATAATGATATGTCATCCTACGATATCGGGATTCGATTCAGGAACCCATAAGGATCCGATTCAGGAACCCTGTGAGCTGTAGGATGACAATATCATTCACCGACATAAGACTAGCGGGAGCTGACCCGAACCTTCTTAGGTTATTGGTAGTCTTATGCCCGACAGCGCGATTGACTCATAGACAACTACTTTTCAAAATTGATAAAAATAAATTTGATAAGAACATATACACCTTTTTCTAAAACAAAAATATACCTTTCGCTACAAACAAAATTGATACAGCCCACTTTTTGCATATTTGAAGCCTACGTGCATGTTGAAAATATAAATTTTAAATGCATTTTGAACATCGATTGTCCACTTGTTGATCACCTGTTTAGGCTGAGGAGTACCCTCCTGAGTTAGGTTCGATAGGACACTCTTCCAGCTGAGTGGCGGACTTTATACATCCGAGTGACCGAGTAGCTTTCGACAACCCTCGAGTACTAATATATAGTTGAGCCTAGCCCCGACCCTAGTGCTTGCGGTCCCCCTCTTTTCGGACTTTTTCATATGTTTTCTCGAAAATTTTGGATAAAGCACTTGCGGTCTCTTTTCGGGATTTTCTCGTATGTTCTACGATTTTAATCGATTTGTCGATTCGTCGATTTCCTCGCATTTCTCTTGTCGTGAGTTTTGACGATCATTCTCGACGATCATTCTCGAGATTTTTGGACGATGTTTCTTTGTTTTCGTTTATATAAAGCATTTCAGCATGTTTCCTCAAATTTTGTTGCTTGTACCTATTGCATCAATTACACCTAAGGTACAACGGACCTCCAAGGTATACAAGTTTGTTTTATGCTTACAGCATGTTATTTTCTTACAAATCACCTACCTGCTATATTCTTTTTATTTTCCTTTACACCGCATTTTGTACTGCTTTCTTTATTACATACTCTACTGCTCCTCCTGTGCTACATACCCTACTGTTACGCTATACACTGTATAATTTCAACATGTTATCTATAAAAATATTTGAAGAACTACAACCATAGGGCCGCTGGATTTGATATTATAATCTGACACCCTAGAAAACTCAAACTCATCACGATAAAGAACTTGGAACACTTGGAACTAGCGCGGTAGACAGCACGACTATCTTCAACAGCAGAACATGTCTTCCCCAGCTAAATCATTCCTTTCCTATAAATTAAAATAGCAATCCGTAGGATTTCGAGGTTGTTCGCCTAACGCAACATAAATCATCGACCTTTTCTTTAGGCATTTGTATAGCTCTGTCGTACGATTAAGCCCTAACTCATTTTAAGATTCTGAGGTTCTTGTTCGTTACAACCTAAATCCTCACATCTTTCGGGCAATTTGTGTGATCGTTTTACACGAATGTAAGCCCCAATTAAATAAAATTAACAGGATGAAACACTTGAATATTTCTCCTCGAAATTGAAGCCAAACCATAGGGTAGACTGAGAAGTCATCGAGGATCTCCTCTGGATCTGTGGCATCCCCTAGTTCTTCTTTTTTTGGATTCTGTAATAAATGTTTTGAATTTGAGTCATTCCCCTTTCACACCTTTTTGTCCGCTTTCGTTGAAAAGTCTCATCCTTTTAAAGTACTTGAAGATAATTTTTCCTGATTTTTATCGAAAGTATTTTTAAGTGACTTCGATCATTTAAGATGTAATTAACAATAGGGGTTTGCCCTTATAGAAAACTTTTCCGAACCCAACTTAAAATAAACCCTATTTAAATTTTTATATTAAATAAGGGGTTTGCCCTTATAGGAAGCTTTTTCGAACCCAACTTAAAATAAACCCTATTTAATTTTTAATATTAAATAGGGGAATTTGTCGGCAAATAAAACAGTTTCGCAGACTAAACGAACGTCATATATTTCTTAGTTTATTTGATCGAGTCTCATCCTCAAGTCTTGTGTTTATCCCTCGGGATAGATACAGGGTTTGAGGTAAAGCGCTCTTTCATTTAAACTATAAAAAATATAGGGTTAGTTTGATTTTCATATTTGATTTTAAACTTAAATCTATATGTAAATTAAAGCGTCCTTCTGAAGTGGGGGACGAAATTTCGATTCTGGTGACCGACAGTTTCTTACGGTCAACTCTCCCCCAACCAACTTCCCTTTTTATCGCCAACAATGTTGAGTGTATTTAAAAAATTACCTCAATCAAATATTTTTTTTAAGTTAAACTAAAATTTAAATAAAACAAAATAAAAATAAATAATGTACAATAAAAATGATCCCGAACGGCAATTACGTGATTACCTCCATGTTTGTTGTGATGATCATTGTTTGATCACCCATGAACTCATCCTCAGCATATTCCATGACCTCAACCTACAAATCAGCTGTCATCTACTCCTCTACCTGCCAATGTATATCCAATTATCTTAGCTTTTTCTAAATTTTTCATCTTTGGGCGAGTGAATCCCTCTACCAAATTTATTGTTTTTCATGTTGATATATAACTTCCCATCTTCCAATTTTACATCCTTCCTTGGTATAAAAGCTTGCAAGCATTTTTCATGTGCGTCATGGTAATAATTAAGAAGTTTCTTGTTCAAACATCAAACTCAAGGTTGAATTTCTTTTGTTAATGGGAATGATGAAATATTAATTGGAAATTAATTGTTTTTTCTCAACCATCACCTACTGGCTACTGCTAACCTATCATCATTAAATTGGTTTGGAGCTCATTTTCAGGTCTATAAAAGACATGAATGCTGATTGTTTTGGATATATCTTAAGGATAAAAAAGTGAGTGCTTATTCTTATTTGGGTAGGTAATTCCCAATGTAATGGGTGAGTGGGTCCTCATAATTTTGGGTGAGTGAATCCCTGCTTATTTGGCCGAACTTGTACTAGCCCCCATAATTTTTTATAACTGATTCCCTACTTGTCTCATAATTTTCCTTTCGTGGTAGTGAAATCCCCAGAAGCAAGACTTGCCGAACATATTACAATAAATTTTAGGGGCATTTACATACATACCACCCAATTCTTATGTATTTATATTTCTTACTCCTATTTTTATATTTATACCATCCATATCATTCATATCACATCAAATATACCACAATATTTACTTTAAAAAGTGATATTTTTATATTTGTACCACCCAAACCATTCATATCTCATCAAATATACCACAATATTTACTTTAAAAAGTGAAATAAACTTTTCATGTATTCAAAGGCGGCATATATGTACAAATTGAAGCTTAGGTTTTAGATATGTAAATACATAAGAATTGAGTGGTATGCATTTAAATCTTCCTAAACTTTTTATAATAGAAATACGTTGCCAAATTATTCTCTTTAAAATTTAGCACTGACTAATTTTTCATACTGTTTGTAAGATTTCATGTATATATATAATTTTATTTGTTTCTACGAACTCTTACCATCTTTTTTTCCTTTTCAGCCATTGCTTGCCATTGATGTCTGGGAGGTATGTTTTTTTCTTGCATTCGAGACTACTTTGCCTTACTGGATGTTATATTTTATTCTCTGTACCAACTTATTTCCTTTTCATTTGGGAATCCCACTTGACTATTCAGCATGCTTACTATCTTGACTACGAGGTTAGTTCTCTGTAAGCTACTACATCCATCTTTCTGTGATCGACCTATATGTTAATAAACCATTGAAGCCATTACTTATCAGCAGAATCAGCGTTCTGAGTACATATCTTTGTTTATGGACAAGCTAGTTTCATGGGATTTTGTCAGCTCAAGGCTAGAGATGGCCTTGGCGAGGGAGGAAGAAAGAGCAAGGGAAGATGCCAGTAACGCTGAAGAGGATGATTTGGTCTTAGCGGATAGTGATGCGAGGGAGATGTTTTTGGACAGCGATGAAGATGATGCAGGGACTCAGTAGGAATACAAACCAGTTGCATGATTTATCTTTGCAATAAATTTAACCTAATTGTTGGGTATTTAGTTTCTAACCACATTGTCTTGTACAATTTGAAAAAGGGAAGATTTACATACATACGACTCAGTTTCTATGTATTTATATATCTATTTCCTAAACTTCAATTTTTACAAATATAACTCCTTATCTATGCTTGAAAATGTGTATTTCACTACTTAGAAGTTAAAATTGCAGTATTTTGAAGTAAAGTTTAGGTGTTAGATATGCAAATACATAGGAATTGGGTGGAAAGTTTGTAAATGCCCCCAAAAGATATTCCTGTTGCATTTTATTGAAAGATTAGCTTATGAGGTGAGGTGATTTTATTGGACATGTCCTGCATAACTTCTGAGTTGGGACCCCAATTATTATTTACTTTGCTTGAATAGCTGTACAAATGCATTTCAATCCTAAGGTATTCTGTTTTTAGGTATTGAGGCAATCTTTTTTCATGTTTATATATACTGGTGATGCTCTTGTTATGTTCTATTTTCTTGCTGAATGATCATTTGCTGAAACATAGCAATTGATTAACTCATATATGGTGTTGTTTTTAGTGCTAATGTGATTTCACTCGATGAGAATTTGAGATTGTTTTATTAGGCCATTTTATGTTGAATAACCTGCTAAGTGTGTGCTAACTCACTAATTGATCATGATGAAAGATATCACGGTGATGTTCATCGTACAAACTGACTTAAATTTAGATATTTAACTTCGATCACCGTTGGTATATCTCAGAGCTAGATCTTTTGGTTTAGATCCCCATCAACAATAAACTTATAATCAAAGCATTTTTTGTATCCCACTGTTGAATTCTAGATTGTCCTTTGTGGAAACATGCGGCCAAAATTGGAGCCGGGATGCGGATGACAGAATAAAAATAATTGAGGAAGTCTCTATAGGAGATGGGGAGAGGTCCCTTTATTCGTCATTTTATCTTCTATTTATAGAGGCGTATTTGTAAAATTATAGAAAAGAAAGAATGCCTATAGAAATTGTCCTTAATGTAATTTAATCAAGATGATTTGTTGTCAAATATATATTGCAATTTTAATTCAAATGTAGCAGTAAACAACTGACCAACACATTTGAGTTTGGTCGACCAAGGCGGCCGACCTAGTGGCGATTGTGCCTAATGTAGTAAAAGGCTGGTCGGTCGATATGTTGCGGTCGTTGGATGATTGACTTGGATCAGGTTTTTGTAACCTGATGCCTCAATTGTCTGGCCATCGTTCTGAGCCGCTCTATTGCTTTGAGATTTGTGTCGACAGTTTGAGCGCATACATATTAGTTCCCGAGTTTTTCTGCTTCTTCACAGTGACAGTTATGATAAGTACATGGAAATAATTAATAGTTAGTGGCACTAAAATCAAGAAAATTAATTTGGTGACTAACTTCACTTTTGGATTTTTTGCTTAGAGCACTCTATAAATAAAGTGTAGGCTTAGCATGACGTCCATTGCCGTGATTTTCTCCTAGACGACTGAGCTGCGCCATGGTTGATAGCTCGGGCGAGATCACTGCGGACCCCATAATTTTATTCAAAGCGGCCTATCAGGTCTCGGACCATGCAAAGAAAAAAAAAATATTAAGAGGGAGAGGAGGCCGGGATCCGAACCTGTGTCGGCGGATCAGGTCGATTTGTTCAGGGATCCTGACGCGCCGATGTCGAAAGTCCCTCGTAAGAAGGCCATGGTCCCTGAGCTTGGTCTATATGTAACCACCTGGGGCTAGTAGTCTCTGTTTGCTAAAAGTGCCAAGGCGAGTAGAAGGGAGCAAGATGAAGCATCGATCATCATCCTTTCTTAGCAGCTACTGCAGGTAGGTAGGGGTACCTCGACGCAAGAGGGAAAGAAGCCCTTTAGGACTCTTTGTTCCATAGATAAATTTATGGGTATGTAAGGCCTTTGATCTATTGATGTTTCTTAAAAAAAAAAATTCATAATTCCAATGCAAATGAATCGGTCAGGTCGGAGGATTGCCAGGACGGTGCGGTGTCCGTCCTTACTGCGGTGGTCAGGCTGCAGGCCGTTTATGCGTGGCTTCTATTAGCCAATCCTTGGAACGGACGCCAATCGCCTGACCCTTTTCCCATTACCGGCTCTGAACAACAGCAGACAGAGTTGTGACAGCCTTCCCCTGGAGCCATGGAGTAGTGGGCAGAGGGATCGGGCCCTTGGCGATGCTAGTTGGCTCTTCGGAAGGATCGGCTATAAGTTCAGTTGTGAACCCTATGCGGGAGTCGTTAGTACCCCTGTGTGGGAGTCGTTAGTACCCCTGTGTGGGAGTCATTAGTACCCCTGGCTTCCATGGACTCAATGGTGGGGGCCCTATAGGTGGAGGTTGCCTCCTTGCAGGGCGAGCTGGCTGGGGTGTTGCACGAGTATGGAGCTCTTCGCTAGTCGATCGACTTGGGCAAGTTTCGTCACAATGCTGATCGGCTAGATCAGATTATGTTAGGAGACAAATGGTTCTCCAAAGGTTGACTCAGAAGGGGTATGTCCCAATTAAGGCCTTAGAGGACCCGCTCATAAAACACTTTGTTCTAGATCTCTAATAATGTTTTTTTTTAAATGAAACGGTGCTTAAATAAATTCGAAAAGATGTCTGGTGTGACCTATCACTATGCGATACCTCGTTTTACGTGCTCTCCTTATAAATAAGGTAACATATCACTTTTTTTTACTTTACGCCTTCTGGTTTCTCTCTTTGTGCGCTTGATCTTTCTTTACCTTTCATCTCTCGACCGATTCTTATTTCCCACGTTGGCTCTGAATTATTCTCCAACCCTCTTCAGCTCCGTCAAGGGTGTTGTCCTTCATTTCTCATGGAGAACGAAATAAAGGAGTTGTAGAGAAGTATTTTCTACATGACAACGTCACTCTTTGGAATTTGTTGAGGACGGACATCGTGGGTAAGGATCTTATCTTCAACCAAGACCAACTCAAATACGACCTTCGGTTACCTCTGTGTGACGAGCTCTGGAGTGTCTTCCATATGTCAATGGTTTTGGGTAGGAGTGGACAAAAGGAGAAGCAAGGCACGTTGCCTCTGCATTCCATGATCCCGCCATTGACTTCTCGGCTAGCTCTATGCACGACGGTGTTTCAAGGGCTCGATTACAAAGCCAATCGTTTTGGCCGAACATAAGGAGGTAAGGGAGAGGCGGGGTGTGATGCACTAGCCCAAGCATCGATCCTCCCTACATAGCCTGGAGAGGCAGTCATGAAGCAAAGAAAAGGAAAGACAACAAGAACGAGTTGAGAAAAGGGGAAAAAATCACGAATGAAGGCAATGGAAAAAGAAAAATAAGAATTGGAATAAGCTAGCATTGCAATTTTTTAATTTTAAAATAGAAACTTTTATAATATAAAAGGGTTTGAATACATAGCTCAATTCCTACATATACTGATATGTAATACCTAAGCTTCGTTTTTTACATACACAGTGTCGTATTTATGCATGAAAATATGTATTTTACTTTTAAAAGAAATTGATTGTTTTTTTAAATGTAATATTAAAATTTTGAGTGATATAAATATATAAAATAAAATTAAAATATGAAAATTTTGAGTGATATAAATATATAAAAAAATATAAATGTTAGCTATCTAAATAAATAATAATTGGATTGTATGTCGGGTTGTAAACGAACCGAACACGAACGAACAGAGCTTGTGTTTGTATTCGGTTCGTTTGAAATAAACTCGTGTTCGAAATTGTTCGTGAAGTCATTATTCATGTTCTTATTTATATTAGTATATTACTAATATAATATATTAATATATTATTATTATTATTAAATTATTGTATAATTTATTTAAATGTTGCTCGCAAATTGAAATAGTCTTCTCATCCATCATTTTCTTATGAGATACTTGGGCGTCCTTCCATTCCTAACGAACGAACGAATAGATCACTGTTCGTGTTTGGTTCGTTTAACTAACCAGACAAAAAAAATTTGTTCACGTTCGTCTCGTTTACTTGTCGAACGAATCAAATATGAACTCATTAAAGAATCAAATACAAATTATTTTAATTGCCCTAATTGTATGCACGTAAAAAGAAAAAAAAAAAAAAAGTGAGGTCTGGTGCAGCACCGGAGTCCGGCCCTCAGCGTTCGAGTGGCTCATCTCACCAAGCTGCCCTGCTCTTGAAGTGGGTGAAAAAAAATTGTAGAAAAAATTTGTCTTCGATTACGGTCGAGAGCAAAATAACACAGCGACGAGAAGCGGAAAACCAAAGGCGCAACTTTCTCTTGTTATGAACACAGTTTCCTGATCCAAAAACATCTGACCAAACCCTAATTCTTCAACGGAATCCGATCTCGATCATCCCTGTCACCCGGTCGCGGGAGTCTCGTCGTCGACATACCGAAAGTCGCGTACTTTGACTTCTGTTTAATTATAATTTATAATTACTTGAATCGCGGTATCTCGCTGGAGATGGTAATATCCGGCGGAACATCTTCCGGCCGCGGCCTTGGTGTCGATCGATTCTACAATCCACCGGCCGTGAGGAGGCAACTTGAGCAGCAGAGGCAGCAGCAGCAGCAGCAGGAGGCGGCGCTGCAACGGCCGGGAAAGGCCAAGCCCAAGCCTGCCACGCCGCCTTTTATGGAGGTCCCTGCCATCGATAGGCCGGTTGAGAACAGAGCTCAGTCTGATGATTCTTCGAAACCATCGCTTTCTTCTTCTTCCTCGTCATCATCGGCCTCTCATTCTCCTTCCCCTTCTCCTCCTCCGAGGTCTATGTCTCCAGTTGCGAATTTGGATCGGTTTTTGGAGTCCACGACTCCGATGGTTACACCTCAGTACTTTCACATGGTATGGAACTAAGCTTAACTATTCCTTTTGCAGTGATTGTTTTAGTAATTGATAAGATTGTTCTGTGCAGACGAACAGTAAAGGGTGGAGGAAGCACGATGGTGTGGAATTGCGTCCCTACTTCACTCTTGGAGATTTATGGGAGTCTTTCGAAGAGTGGAGTGCATATGGTGCTGGAGTGCCATTGGTATTGAATGGCGGGGACTGTGTTGTACAATATTATGTTCCATATTTGTCTGCTATCCAGCTTTATACGAATGCATCCAGGACTACATTTAGAGCAAGGTACGAATTTTATCTAACTTGTTTCGTTAAAAAAAAAAATTCCTCAACATTAGCTGTTTATATTTTGCAGCATGGTCTAATTTCTTTGTGTAATACGGTATACAGTAAGCTGCAATGAATTAATTCTTGGATAATGGAACTGAGTTGTTTAACCATCCGTGCTTATGAGTCTATGTTTGCATCCAAGGATATTCTAATGTTGTGATCTTTGGAAATCACTCTGGTAATGCTATTTATACATTCCAACTGATCCACATTATGCTCCACTCGAGAACTCAATCCTTAATCACATATTACTCAGTTACTACACTAAGGGGCTTAGCTGATTTGTGATGTTGATATTAGTTTCTATAATGCGGGTTGCATAAACAAAAATGTAGTACGGGTTGGATGCTGTGATTGCACAAGGAGAATTATTTTTTTTTCACTAGATGATCAATTACTTTTTCATTCTTGGTCATCTGTTCGCTTTCCTGTTTGTGTCCGAATACCGAGCATGCAAGGCAAAATAAATTGAGAAAGTTCGTTTCTCTAAAATGTAGCAATTTAGTGATTGCATTTCCTGTAGAATTTCTAGATCTTTGCTATAAAAAAATTGCTTTAACGAGTTTTGGTTTTGGTTAAATTTCTACAAGGACAAATATCTTGATTATTCTTAATACAATTTAAATTGTAACCAGCTGAAGATTGGTTGAATGGTTGGAGAGGGGAAAATGTTGGTGGGCACTTTGTGAGAAATTGAATGATAGGATTTGAAAGAGCACACATAACAGTCGTCCTTGTATGCATTGTTTTTAGCATTATCTATGCTAAAATATCTTATATGTACTCTGTTATAAATCAAAAAGATAATTTGTTATTTCAGAATTGTGTAGTATTTTGATTGTGTAGTGCTCTTGTGAGAGAAGAATGGCTTGCCTAACAATATTTACTTGGATGTCCAGGAATGTTAATACGGTGCTGAGATATGTTATTTTGGAAGTTTGCATGGGTTATTGACAGTGTTGAGATGTCGTGACTATTGATGCCTATAATGAGGAAATCATGCATGTAAATTAGGAGAAAGATGTTGATACGATTTGCGATAGGTGAGTAGAGATGGATCGATATAATTGAATTAAAATCCTTGCCACAGTAGATGGCTGGAGTAGGTGGAGTATCACTATCAAAGAGCTTATTTTATGTCTTAAGGGACCTGCTTGAGAATGCAGATATGGTTTGGGCATTGGTTGTCTTTAAATCTTAGAAGCAGATGGATGCAAATGTGACCATCAAGCTTATCATGAAGAAAGGCAATGGAGGCGTCTAGTTGAATTATTTGCCATTGATTGTGTAGAACTAAGACCAGAAGAAAACAAATTTTTGGCATTTTGGCAATGGGATGGAAGTTGTCGTGGTTATTGATTGCTTATTCTTTTTTGAATTGTTGTGCCATAACATGGGCTTTGTAGCAAGCAATTGTGCTATTCTTCTTTATTTTAGTTCAGTATGTCCATTGACAGCTTGAAATATTCTTATTGGGGAACTAAAATCCAAGTACCCGGATGCAGCAATGCAAGAAATACTCATGATTTAACTGATGTTGCCAGATGGTGAGATAGATTGAAGATTGGTTTGGGTTTCCATGATCCTATTATGTTTCTAGTTTGCATGGGATGTTTGTTTGCTTATGGAGGTATGATTGACATGGAATTGATAGCAGGAAATTTTAAGGGGGATGGGTTGGTGCTGACTAAATATGGGGTGAGTATGGAAAATGGGTGAGTGATTGGTGGTGGATGAAGATGGGCAATTGTTGGTCGGGAGTGATGATAATAGGTGTGTTTTGGCTGGTTTGTTGTGGTCATGTGTTAATGTAGTGTGATAGGATCTTGGAGTTAGTACGACTAGTGTTAGGGGTTGGGTTTTGGTTTGTGGTTCAGTGGATTGACAAACTTGTTGGTAGGAGAAATTGTGTTCATCAAATATTATGTGATAGGCTAGAACTCTGCCATTGTTGGAATTAAAGCAGTGATAACCCTTTTGAGATGACAAGCAACCCAAACAAATGCTGGGTGAGGAGAAAGAGCTACTTTATACAGTGATAATGGGCGCTGCTGCTAGGGAAACAGGAGCAACCAAGTACCTAAGGTGAGAGCAGTTAGGTTTTTTTTCACATAGTAGGTGGTATGGGGAGAAATTTTTTGTTGTTTAGGATGGTAAGCACTTGATTTGATATGTTGTGGCAAGGAGTGCATCTACTCAAAAAATGATGTTGGATATTCGCTTCAAGGAGTACCTTGGTGGTTTCTGTTCCACCACAACTTTTTACTTACGAGTGTAGGGGAATCTCGACTATTGGGCTATTCCATGAGCGAGCTAGATTTTTTCCAATGGTGGGAGTGAATAGTATTGCTTGTATTATTAATCATTGCAATTTGAGAAAAAAATTAATGTGAATGGTAAATTGATTTTTGACCTTTATTTGAAATCGAATAAATTTTTTAGTGAGTTTAAATTTTAACAACATTGGAAAATTCTAGCAAAATGGAAGAAATCTTTAATTAAAGAAATGTAACAATCATGTCCTTATATTGAAGCTTAGCTTGAGAGCTTTGAAAGAGTGAGAAGAATATTTGGGAAGGGGTAAAAAAATGCATTTTGTTTATCTGCAAGTATTACAAAAACTAGCTTTCTACAATTTGGAGATAATTGAGAGATTGTAATATTGCGATGGCTAGTATTTTGTGTCAAACGTAAGTGGTGGAGGGCTGCAATGTAAATGTTCCTGTTGTGTGAAGAGGATGAGATCATTATAGCAATGAACCATTGTGATAATGTGATTTTTCGTTTAATCCATGATGTGATAATCAGCTGCATCAAAAGAAACGCAGTAGTTAATGTCAGTAGCTAATTTATGGATAGAGAAGGTTGCGGCATAGCTGTGGTGCATGAGGAGTTGAGAGAGTAGTAGCTTATGGTGTGGTGTTAGCATTATTCATTGCTGGTATGTGATATGGGGACAAAATAGTTATTTTTAGTAGTATTTTATTTGGAGATGTGGTGGGGATTAACGTTCTATAGATAATTTTTATTAGTAGCAAGTGTGAGGAGGCTCTTGAGTTTTGAATCTACTTTTGAGCAGAGGAGCTGTTAGATGCGATGAAGGCTTGGCAGAGAGATGGAGGATTAAGGGAGTTGTATTGTAGGATGGGTTGGTACCAGGAAGTGACATGGTAATGGACATCTTTTTCACAGACTTGGTAGATCATGTGAACATTTGAGTGCTGACCTTCTTGATTCGATTGAGAGCCACCATGTCTGGGAAAGTTATTAGAGCCACGACTATGCACATGTAAATTTGGAGGAGTTAAATACCTATTAGTAGTTGTTGAGGCTAACTAAAGCCAAAAGAGGTGTAGCAAAAGGCTTGTTTGTTGGCCATTTAGTTTGTGATATTGATTTCCTTGTTGCAAAATAATGAGTATAGGTTGTCAAGGCTAACTAAAGTAGGTTTGGTTTTGATTTTAGGTTTTAGTTTTAAAGTTTTAGTTGGTAGATGTTAGGCTATTGAGTATGTGTAGAACAATGTCTTTGATATCGCTGGGTGAACCAATTGCTGCTTTGTTGTCAATGAGCATCTTCTCATCATAAAGGTATTGAGACGCATGGTATGAATTCCATAGAGATATGACACAGCTCATTCTTCAATTGAATTGCCCTTGAGTGGTTTGAGGACTGTAGTTTCTTCTCTATACAAGCCTATATTTCAACAATCATGATGAGGATGAGGATATATGATAAGAGTGATCGGCTGATTGTAGTGTAAGGCAGTAGCTTGATTTTTGATGTAATAACATACAAATGCTATAATGTGGGTGAGATACTTGTCAAATAGAGAACTGAGCTAATGTGGTATTTGTGAAAACCATTTGTGGTGAGTAACTTCAAAAGTTAAGTTAAGTGATACCAAAGTTAACCCAAATGATAATGACAATGCAACTTGTATTACTAAAATCAAATAGGGATTACAACCAACGACACTCAAAACTATGAAATAGCAAAAGACAGGACAAAAACTCAATTAGGGCTTAGGTCAACGGTGGTGGTGTTGCGGTTTAAGGAGGAACAGTATGCATGAAGTGAGGGAATGGTCGGGTGGCAGCAAAAGACGAATATGGTTGGCTGTCGGATGGCAGGAAGGTGTGCGACAGCAGGGTATGGTGGGGTGGCTGCAGCTGGGAGGTGGGGGCAGGGTGTTGGAAGGGTCGGGTAGGCTCATGATAGCAAGAAAATGAGTAATGGGGCTGCGATAGTGTTGTTGGATGGCTGGACAATGATAGGACGACGAGAGAATGACTTGTAGAGCTGTAGCTGTGGCGGTGATGTCAGATGACAGAATGGGGGTAGAACAAAGGAAAGGAGTGGTGGGGCTGTGACAATGATGGGAGGGAGCTAGGACAACGAAAACATCGAAGCAGGTGGCAGGGAGGAGCAACAACAACAACGAGGAGAGGGAAAAGATTTAGTTGGTGGCTGGATGGGGGAAACATGATAAATATCCCCTCTGGAGTGAGCTACATTTGGAGCACCTCTCGTTTTTTGAGAGGTCACAATCTCGAACTAGTTACATTCGAAACACCTCCTTGCCTTTAGATACAACCTTGGAACCGAAAAACCTTGACGCCGACAACTGTCCTAACAGAAAACAATATAAAAAATTGACTTACTACAACACATATATAGGAAATGACTAAGAATAAATGAGACAATAGGAAAGAGATCATAATAAAGAAAACGATGTTGTTTCGTCAGCCTGTCTCCTGTCACCCGTGATATATTTTCTCGTGGTGCTGTAGCAGCTACAATATTGTGAGTTAAATATGCAGGAAAGCTCCACATCAATCTCTTGGGGTTGGGGGAGCTTCAACCTCACTCGTCGATGTCTGCACGTTTAAATTAACAGAGCTGCTATTATCTCCTGGGATTGAGGGGTCTTCGATTGGAGCCCTAGAAGCTCC